ACAAGTTGGACGAGATGTTTTGACAGTTCGCAACCTCTATTTCCTCGTCCTAGACATGTTGTCCATCTCGTCCATCTCACCACCCTTTCGAAGCTGGGCTAGCAGGACGTGATGACGTCACAATAACATTTGGACATAAATAATAACACTTGCAGGAAACCACAAAATACTGATAGATAATTATATAGCCCTGTATTGATGTTGTCAAAGGATATTTTTTGTGTCTGTCAGTTGTAGGTAAGTTAAATACCAGAATGTAGAGTAATTTTCTTGTGCGGGGAATATTAAATTTTTTCATGCGCGGAAAGAATAATTTTGTCTATATTTTTGTGGAAAGATCTGCGGACAGATGGTGAAACAAGGACGCAGAAAGGTCAAAAGAATTTTATGCATGGAAGATGATTTAAAAAAGAACTAAGCGTGCGCGGAAAGTTACCCGAGAACTACATTTGCTTGGACATAATTTGATCAAATTTTTGTTCGGGGAACATGTTCCCCGCACAGACCAAACTAAACAGTCTGGGTTAAATATGCATCAAAGGAGTGAATGTTTATTTCTGAGCCTGTTGCATTCTGGGCAGCAAAGGCCTTAGAGGTTTCAGACGCGGCCTCGTTCGCCTGTTGGTCCTGACAAAATGTCTGGATGAGCTAGACGAGGGTTTCCGAACATACCATAATAGATTTATAATGTTGCATTTGGAACTCTTTGTCTTTCCCATGCAGACAACATGTCAAGACCAGTAGGACAATAGGGCCATATTTGAAACCTCCAAGGACCGTTCAAAAGCACACATTTACTATTTTATACCGGTGTCTTTATTTTACACACTTTGATTTTAAAACTCCTCTGATACATAGTTAACTTACTTGCAACTGACAAACAAAAATACCATTGGGTAACATCAATAAAAGGCCATAGAATTACCTAACAATATCATATGGTTGCTTGTAATAATCATCTTTTGTCCTGCTCCCTTGGCAGAGCCTAGAACTTTTGTGATAAATTGATGCCACAACAATATTTCTCCAAAGTCAGGAAGCTTGCATAAGATATTAGTTTATTTTTATTTTAGACTATTTTATTTGCCAAGCACTTTCAAGCACTCAAAACAATATTGTATTATAGGTGCTCTATAATAGCTGCTGTAATAAATATTGGAGTTATTCATTGTAAATACAGTGTGGTGGCATCGAATCATTCTTTTCAAGCAAATTGGATTGAAATAAAGTTAGATACATAAATACACAAATAGATATTTGGTCTTAATAATTGCTATATAATCATTGTACCAACCAAGATAATTGTTCATCAGTACAGTACAGACCTATTTGGTGATACATGTGGAAGGCATATTTTTGTCTGTCATTATCACCATCAGCAGGGGCAAGGCTGTTGTTAGGATTTCATTCTCTAAGTAAATAGTTACAGTTTAGCATGGTATGTTTAAGAAATTTCATTAGATGGAGTTAAAAGCTGAAGAGAATGATTTGAACTGAGCATAATAGCCAGTGAATGGACCAAATTTGGAGCAAAAATGTCATAGCGCAAACACGAATGCACAAAACATCAGACCAAATGTGAAGTTGCACTTGCACTTCATTTGGAGTTGTTTTCATGAGCTTGAAGCTTTTATAGTTATACAGTATGCACTCTTCTTCCCTTTTCTAGAAGTCCGTTTTTCAGTTTATGCTCATGATATTGGGCTTATTATATACTTGATAAGCATTTAAAGTAATCTAGTATGTGCAGGTAGTTCAAGGGTTAGCATGCTGCTATAACAAGGTCATGTGCCATAATCCCCATTCAGACCCACATTTTTTACTTGCAAAATGTTAATTTGACATGGTTTTGAAAAAATGAAGCTTGAACTGTACTTACATGAGGCACAAAAGCATCGAGTTAGTGTGGAGTGTTTGTATATTGTAAACCAGGCATCAGCTTTGGTAATCACTTTTCTTTTTTCATGATCAGTACAGAGCTTCATCCTTCATAAAAGGTCACAACAGACCTGTGAAGTATTCATATTCTGTCTCCAATGAATGTGATATATGCAATTAAACAAGCTACTGTTCTATCTTTTAAACATATGGAATATTGGCTGGTTGATTTCGGGTCAGTCAGTTTCAACTTAGTTCAGGATGCCTCGTATCCAGGGCGAACATATAGAAAAAAATTCTCCATTGTTCATGTGTTAGATAAGGTAGACAAGTATCCATGACTACTTGGCTGGTCCTTCATATTTGTGTCATCTTTCCTTACTCCATTCTTAAGTAGGCTTTAATGATTTTATATCACAAACTTTAAAAAAAAAAGTGAAAATAGTATTGGAGTTAGTATTGTGTCTGTCTTTGATGATGATTATTATTTTATTATCATGTTTTTATTGTATATACATACTTTATTGTTAGTCTTTTATATTATTAACTGATTCTTTTATTCTGTATTAAATGTATATATATTGGCACTTTTGTTGGATGTGTATAAAGCTTACTAACCCTGTATATGTGGCACAGCAATATGTGGCTTACCACCGTGTCCTGCGTTCCAAATGATGAAAAAATTAGCAATCCCTAAGAGATTTCGAGTAAAGATAAACAAAAAGAAATCTAACATGAATGATTAACCATCAACAAAACAACATCAGCAAGTGCTTAGGTTACCAAGAGAAAGGGGTCACCACAGAGTGCTGGTAGCATGGAGGTAACCATCAATGTTCAAGGAAACATCTTCACAACATACTATTATTCTAAGAGGCATTAATTCTGGTGAATTACTAGGCTTACTTGACCACCATTTATGGAATATCCAGGACTGAAGTTATTTTTATTATTATGATAATGATAATATTATCTAGAGTAATAATGATAAAAGAAAAAAACTTTTCAGGGGATGGGTAAGAGGCCGTGGTCAAGAAAGCCTTACAATTGGCACTTTAGTTTGCAAGCATTGTGGAGCCACCACACATGCAAGTGAGAGGCATTGCTTTGATAGGCAAATACACTGTTGAGGTTGTGAATTAAGAGTGACATGGTTGGAGATGTAATGGATAATTTAAGTAACATTATACATTAGAAGGTCATACTAATATTTTTTGTTTCCTTTCATTACTAGAGTTCTATAATGTATGGGGAAGATCTTGATCAGGTAAATGATTGTATTGTGTATATTTAGATGCTTTTTACTGTCTGCATGCATCATGTTTAATGCTGCTGAAGTAGGACCAAATTGATAACCAAAATACATTATTCGCATATGTTTTTGATAGATGTAATTATTTTGATTTACTGCAGTTACCCTTGTTATTTATATTTTGCTTCATCATTATCAGTACTCTGATTTTATGATTTTATTACTGAAACAAAAGCTCTGACATAGGAAGAGGTACATAATAGACTTGAGAGAAAAAGTAACTATTTGAAAATATACAAAGAGGAATCTTATACTTGAACAAACTTTAATTTTTTAAGAATTTCAATTTCAGAAGCTCAGACCCACTCATTCAGTTAAGGTTGTCACGAAAACACTTATCACGTTGAAAGTACGAAAAGTTGCACTTTTTTATTTCCTCTCTTAGTCTACAAATATCTATCATACATACAGATTATTGATTTCCAAGGAATTAAGATTATCTCCCCCAAAAAAATAGCTAAGCTTCATAAAACATAAGAGCTTTGCATCTAACATCTTCCAGCCTCAGTTATTTATATATACAGAAGATGAAGAAAATGAGTTTAGCTTCTACAAGAATTAGATTTTGACAGTTTTGTTTACCCTTATTACAATAAGAGAGAACAGACTGCCAATACTAATTCCTTGCATTTGATATCCTCAGGAATTCCTAACAGGGGCATTTTTTATAAAAGGAAAAACTTTTTTTTTTTTTTACTAAGGTACTGTGTGTAAATTTTCCAGTCTTTTTTTTTTTTTTTTTTTTTTTTTAATAGAAAAGTAGACATATATAATGATATATATATATATATATATATATATATATATATATATATATATATATATATATATATATATATATATATATATATATAATGTATATGTATGTATGTATATGTATACACTTTTTTGTTAATGATTATCAATTTATTTAATCTTATCTATCTTAAGTAAAGTTGCATGTGCAGTAATTCTTAAAAATCTTCGGTATCTTTTGCTTTTGGCTGATTATTAACTCCTTACTAATACTTCCATGCCTCGTAAAGCCTGACCATATTTTGTATGTTGTAAACTACTGCTTAATGTTGCTTCTTCCCTGTGTTTTCAATACTAATTTTAGGTATGTGTACCTCATATGAATTAGCATTTGTTTTTTGGGTATCGTTGTTGTGATTATTGCTTTTTTACTGTTCTTAATTTTTTACTGCTATTCATTTTCTTATTTTTTCAGATTATTGTCATTTTTCTTATACGGTTTAATAAGATGTCTTTGAAATATTTGATGTACAATAAACAATACTTAATAGTTTTATATAGTTACTGATCTGACGACTAAGTAAGTATTTTATGTTACCTTTAGCTTCTCCACAACTAAGTGGTTCACTGTCATAGTGGCATGTGGTTTATTTGGGGTAAAGTGCTTAGTTAAGACTCAGATTCTCAGGATCATGAACTTATTGTAGGGCAACACCTCAGTGAAATGATCATCGATAAATGGGAGCAAATGTCTGTGTGGTATAGACTGCTATCTGATTGATTTATTAATAATAGATTCTTCATTATTATATTGTCTGTTAGTCTGCTCAGACCAAGTCAAGTTATAGTGAATATTGAAGTGTTGACCATAGAATCACTAAACATCCAAGTCAAACTAACACGCAACAAAAAAATTGCACACTCAAGTAGCAAATTATTCACATTTGTGATTTTCCTTGATATAAAGAATCATCATGGATGATTTTGATCACATTTCAAGATTTATATATATTTTTTGTGACTAAAATATAGTCATATGTAAGTAACTTAAAGTTGTTGGGCATACATAATTTTATTTTACTTAACCTATTACAGAACTTTTAAATACCTTTTTTTTTTTTTTTTCCCTTCCATTCAGACAAAAAAGAAAAAATTTCTTCTATTTCTTTTGCAGCTTTCACATGCTTCTCTTGCAATACATGGAAAAAATGAAGTAATTGTTTTTCTGAATATTTGTAGGACTTTTCAACTTGTCTTGATATTGTGTCATTCATTGGATCTTGATAGCTGTGTTATTTAGTTGATTTGTTTTCTACTAATGACTGGTATTTGTTCACTTGTTTGTTTTACTTCAGTCCAAGGCATCCCAGTTCTAGGGAATAATCAGTGAACGTACTTCCCTTAGCATCAGCGATATATTTAACACCCTTTGAAAAGCGACTCAAATGTCTTTTGATTTTCCATTTACATCTGTAAAAATTGTGTGTTTTATTTACCCTTTTTGTTTTCTTAGGTAAAAGATATGAATGACTGTAGTCTACCTATGCTATTGTATTTTTTTGCCTTCATTGAAATTATTATAATTTTTTCAGGTACCTCTTCTAGACAATGATGACACGCTTGGCTTTGGAGAAGAAGATGAACCAAAAGGAAAGCTCAAGTCAGTACTTGATTTTTATTTCTTCATTTCAATTACTTCAGTCTTTCATTCATTTTGTTACATATTTTCCTGTGTCTTCTATCTAAAATCTATTATTAATTATTCATCTACAATGTTTAGGAAGGGATTTATATTATAGCTGTTATGTTTTGAAAAAATAAAAATAAAAGAGAAGGAGAAAGCTTTGATGAATGATTTTTTGTTGCAGGCATCCAGTCGTCACACTTTTCCATCTGATTTTCCGGGTGTCAGCTCTGGTGGTTTATCTGTTTTGCGGATGGTACGGCAGTGGATTTATTGGTGCTTTTGTGACCATCGTCCTACTTGTTTCAATGGACTTTTGGACTGTAAAAAATATTACAGGTCAGTATGTACTCTGTATTTTCTTAACCTTATTATGATATTAGATTCATACTTCTCACCGAACACCTTCCAAAGTCTAATAGGGTCTGGCTTTGTTTTTTTATTTCTTTTGCTTTCAGCTTCATTTTGTTTGACTTCCATTGATGTCAGAAAGTTAAGCTTATTCTATGTATGAGAGAGAGAAAGAGACAGACAGACAGACAGACAGACAGACCCACCCACATATATACGTCATGCACACACATGCTCAGGCCCTAACATGCATACACACTCATACATACATACATACACAAATGTGCCTGTTTTCCTGCTATGACTTCCACAAACTGTTTGTTAGGTTTTCATTTATATGTGTGTTTTTCATGGCATTTGTTGATTATGCCATACATGAAGGCATATTTGATTACTTTTTAAATAAAAAGTAATTCCTTTTACAGGGCGTCTCATGGTTGGCCTTCGATGGTGGAACTACATTGACGATGAAGGCAAGAGTCATTGGGTATTTGAAGCTCGAAAGGTAAATTTCAGTATCAGAACTCAACTCGTCTGAATTTTTTAAATAGTTTTAGTGCATAGGAATAGATGCACAAATATATAGATATCATATTTGGTCAGTTTGATTAAGTATTGTTTTGTTTTTTCTTCTTTGATCATTAGATTTTTTTAGACAAATTAATTATAACCATGAGATTGATTTTAGCTTTATTAATTAAATTTAGTGAAAAATATGTCCATAACATGCGTTTGCCTGATGTTAGGGTGGTCTTCAGGGTCGAGTGTCGCCAGTTGAAGTGCGGGTCTTCTGGGCTACACTTGTGGCCTTCCCGGTTCTTTGGTCCATCCTCTTTCTCATTGCAATCTTTTCACTCAAGTTCAAGTGGGCTGTAAGTATAAATGATGTTTTGTGTTTTGTTTTGTGCTTATCACAGATAGTCGACTTATATCCTGTTGTCTCCACCTATGTATTTGTATATTGGAAAGTACCAATTAATGCAACTGCTAGGAAGATGGCTCCAAAATTACCAGTGACAACTTGAGCAGCACTTGTTGAAAAATAAGGAAAGTATGGTTGGGGAATATGGAACTTCGTAATTTTTATACCCCAATTTTTTAAATAGTATTGCTTGAGGCATCACAGATAAATTTTGTGACCTTTCAGAGCAGTTGCAATTTGTGGTTCTTTTGAGTTTACAGAATAACCCCATAATGATGACGGACATGTATGTCCATGCTGTGCATAGCATGACTAAACTCATTACCAAGTAGAATGTAACTCTATGCCAGGTCCAGTCAAGCCTGCTCTAAGTTGAATAAGTCACGGAGGAGTTACAACCCTCAGTGATTACAGATTTACAGTGCCTCAAAAGCAGGGATGAAATAGCTTTTCAGCCTCATTTACTGAAAATTGTGTATGCTAGAGCCAAATGTTTTGATAGTCTGGCAAATGTGTATTTCCTGTGCTTCATTTTATTCCTGAACCTGCTGGCTGTGTGGGGCACCCAGCATGTGACATACCACAGTGCAGTTATAAATTTCCCAAATATAGAACACCACAAATTGGTCTAAGAGTGCAGATTTCTACAGATACAAAATAAATAAATAAATTAATAAATAAACAGTAGAATTTTATATATAAATAGAGGGATAGAGAAAGAAACAGACAGAGAAAAAGAGAGAGAGAGGGAGGGAGGGAGGGGGAGATTACTGTGTGTGTTGCAGAAGTTTTTTAGGGAAAATAATTTGTTGCAGACCTATTTTAATGAGGGCCACAACAGTAAAGGAAAGTCTACTACATATACTAATCTGGATTGCCACCCAATTGTAATAAATTATTAACCTTTAGACTCCAGAAGATATCAGGTTCACATCATGGCTGACTTGGTTGTTGCCCTGGTTGTCATGGCCATCTTAGGCATGGCACAAGGTGATTGATCATTCACATCATGCTACTTCGATGCATGCATTACATTTTATGCTTTTTCTTTTAAGATACCCTCATGCCTACATGTTACATGCCCTGGGCCTTGTTAGAAGGAAAATGGGAAGTGTAATGCTCTGATTGGCTATTGTTTTGCATAAAAGGTGATATTTAGTATATAAATCATTCACCTACTATGACTGGAAGATGTCACACACTGAAACATTGCACTCTGTTGATGTGAACCTGTAACCTTTGCTCTGGTTTACATGATCAGTCTCCGTGTTATCTGCTCAGGATGTCATATGGCAGTCTACCAGTATGACTGTCTTATAGTATGTCATATGGTGCTCTGCCATTCTTGAAGTATGACTCAGAAAAGAGAAGTAGTGAAGCAGTGGGAAGAGCAGCCTTGTATTTAACTGCATACAATGTAAATAAGTAGATTTGCAAAAATGAGAGAATCCTTATTTTTATGTCATTAAACCCCACATTTAATTTTGTACACAGTGTATAACAACCTAATTTGAAATGAACTTTAAATGAACTTTAGTGCACATAAGCAGGTTGCTACAGGTTTGATCTAGCTGCTCAAATCAATATCATACATCTCTGAATATGAAAAAACATCTAAAATCATGTTTTGGGTACATGTGATATAAAAATAAATCATAGCACTTTGTTGGTTTAGCATGGAGGCACTGGGTTAATGATGTATAATCCTACTGGCACACCTCTTTGTTTGAGGCAGTAGTGAGCAGTCTTGTACTTTTGTTCAGTTGTAAAGAACTAAAATTATTTGGGTTCACAATTTATCTAAGAATTTTACTTATACATCCATGTTATGTTAAAAAAAACACGGAAGATATTATAGAACCTTTTTTTTTTTTTTTCAGGTAATTGTGTTGATTGCCCTTACCTTGAGTGGAAGCAACATGTATGGATATATTCGCTGTAAACTTGGGAAGTCCGATAGTCTTACAGAATCAATGAAAAGTATGGCCACTGGATTGGTGCAAAAGCAGATGCTCGGCAGTGTAAGTATTAACAGAAATTATTTTTAAGAAAATTAAAACTGCATAATATACATGAATTATCACTTTATGAACACAGAGATGTAGATTTTTGCTGTATCACCGAGAATTTACTCTCTCATGGGTTATATATTTCAGTAGAAAGTCAAATATTAACAGAAGAATCATGGCAGTTTAAACAATGGAGGAATAATAATACTAACTGTGTTGCCAAGACATATGACAGGAAACTAAAAGTATCACTCACTACTTTGTGTATTTCAGGTAACCAACATGTTTGCCCGCACACCCCCAACCAATGCTCCAAGTAGTACGGTGTAGTGAAGAATGGCATAACCTATCAAATCTCATTATTGGTGTGGAATTTTTGTATAAATGATTTATATCTAACTCCTCTGATTGTAATAGTATTGGTAGAAGTAAAGTATTTAGTATTTTTACAATTTTTCAATGAGATTTTCCTCATCAAGCCATGTTGACAAATTGTTATGATACACCATTAAAATATTCATGTAACAAAGAGGTGAATAAAGTACATTTGAGAATTTGGAATGGTTTGATTATATGATATACAATGAACGAACAACTCTCTATGTATGTATATGTATGTTCTGGTGGTATCTATATTTATTACTGTAAACTGTTGTAATCTGAAGAAGTGCCTCTTTTTCACATAATTAGTTTACTTTGTTCTGTCATTCCAATCTGTAATGAAAGAGAAATTCGTTATTGCCTTGTGTGTGTGATTGTGACTGTAGGTTTCATTACATGTATATATTTTATGTTATATGCTGTTTTTCACAGGTTGTATAATAGGAAACTTTGTTCGGCTAATATAAAAATCAGGCACAAAAATTACATATAATAAAGAAGCGGAACTGCACAATAGTCTGGTTTAGATAAATACAAAGTTTCACCTTCTGTACTTCTATCTGTGGAAGATTTGTTTTGGTTTTCTATTTGCATATGGTAAGAGTGTGCGTGTGAGGGAGTGCCAGCATTATTAAAATTAGTTCAATAAAAATATATATATACATATATACATCATAATTTACTTGCTTTTGTCAGTCTTATCAGATACAATGTTTTGTTTAAACACTATTTACAGGTATGAATGGCATCCCTATGCAGTATTTTCTTTATTTGCTACTATATATTTTTTCTTTTACTGGTGATGTTCAAGAGTGCACCTTTTCAAATATATTTTTAGTATGTAAATCAGATAAATTATACGTGATTTAAAATGCCTTCCAAAACAACATTGTCTTTTGTTAACCTATTTGAGCCCATATTTTATATCTTAACTTAAATTCCAGTAGTAGTTAAAGAGCTCCTAAAAGATACGTGATAATGAAGAGCTGCCAATTTTGGAGTATTCTTAGTGCTGTCATTGGTGTTAGAAAGCTAGATGTAAACATACAAGATTCAGTATGAGAAGAAATACAAGAAAAGAAATTACTGAACATGTTGGAAATAAGACTTGTTGATTTTCTTTCGTTACTTATAAAAATGTAACCTCTTAAGACTTGTTGATTTTCTATCTTTACTTATAAAAATGTAACCTCTTGTTCTATAACAATATTACCCTCTGTGATGTGTGAATGGAATGAGAAATTCTGTGAAAACTTTCTTCTTATACCTAAACAAGACATGAGATTCATCAAATGTAGTAAGAGAAATGTACTATGTAATGCTTTGAAAATTCATTAACTCCTAGAGCAAAAATCCAGAATAAGACGATAAATGTGCAGTTATATTTTCACATGAGTAGTATGCATTTAAACATGTACTGATTAGGGACAATTCTAATTAATTATCTCTAAAAAAACAAAGAGAAAATTAAATTTGAAAGTATGGTTATAAGACTTTTGTAATATCATTAACTTTTTCCATGTAAGTGATAAATACATTTTCACATGTTCTACATACCTTAGTGCAGTATTTCTCAACATGGGATAAAGAGAAAGGTTCTAGGAGGTAAAATGAATAAATTATTTGAAAAAACAACAACATAACAACAGACTCCTATACAAGTATATTTTTAAAAAATCATGTTACAATTAACTGCAGTAATCACCATGGGGCACAAATTTCACAACTTTTCAGATCATGTTTTGGTTAATTCTTTCCCATATCCAAATGGCATGGGAAAGTAGGATGGTTGGACTGGCTGAAGAGACTAGACAATAATGTTTGGAAGAAACTTGCATAATATAAATGAAATTGCAATTATATGATTAAAGGAAAGTATATTTCAAGTGCAATCTATTATATGAGTGTTACAGGAATAGTTTATGATGCAATGATGATAAACATTAAAATGAAGTAGATAAAGTTATTAAGATGTTACATTTTGATAGAGATAATATTTTCTGGTATGTTTGTGTGAAATAATTAGAAAGAATAATAAGTAATCTATCCATAAAGCATCATATTATATGAATAAAGTGAATTATGCATGTGGAATTGCTGTAAGCATACTATACTGTCAAAATTTTTGAGGGAAAACTAGAGACTTCATATTTTGTGGGTTCTAACCGATTCTTCTTTGGTAAGGACGCATGAGTACTAGGCTAATGTATTTAATAACCTTTTGGGAGGAGGAACAAAATGTGAGAGAAGAAGGGAGACAGACTGGGAGCCACACAAATCTGAACCACCGTCTTAAATACACACACACACACACACACACACACACACACACACACACACACACACACACACACACACACACACACACACACACACACACACACACACTCACACTCACACACACATATGTGCGTGTATGCATGTGCAATACGTATATTACATATACAAAATATGTGTTTGTTTTATTTATTCAGTTTTATAGTCGCCTCTCCGTATGGTGCGGGTTATCACGCCTTGTCAACTTTATCATAAAGATCATAATCTTGGGTCTGCACTAATTAGGCTATTGTTGAGCACCAAGCAATGGTTGGCTACATACTCAATAGCGCACCTGCGTGGACGATGAAAATGATGGTCTTCAGGCGCCCTAGCTGTCAATATTTCTAATCACCAGTTGAGGTTATAAAGTTGTACCCCACGGACATCTTACAGAAAAGAACAAGTGCCACATCAGGATAGTGACAGCGTAGGAAATCGTTGTCGTGATGGAGTATCCTTCTTCGGCATTACGACCGTTCATCCTTGCTCTTCAACTGCATGGATCGTTCCCATACCGATACATGGGGTCTCAAGACGGACGTGATCCTTGTCTCAGCGCCTTTCTGCTGCTTTGGTGCGTCTTCCTCAAAACCGGCACGGGAGTTCTTGTTCTCGTTCTGCCGGAGATCACACGAAGGACATGGCCGTCCAGTGACGTAGGTTCACAAAGTAGCATCTTGGGTGCGTCCATTTCGGAAATGATAATGGCATTTTCTCCCATGATCCTGCTCTGGAACAGCCCACGGTTAAGGGAGCTTCTGTTGCAGCTGAGTCAGGCCATGGAAGACTTTTACAGTTTTGCTCCACGCCCGAAACTGTCCTGTGTCAAAGACTACCTTTCTGTCATTACCATTGTACTGAATACATTGCTGCTCTTGTTCAAAGGCATTTACTTCTGTAGAATACTTA